TGGATTTGGAGGTTTTCCATCCTCTCAAAGGATAGCAAAGTGAAGAATTCAACCTTAACGTAGAACGAAAGCATATTTTGCCAATAGGACGGAGTCCAAAGAATGGGATACATTCCATTTCAAAACCACATTAATGTTGCTCAATTCAAGCCCTGACAAAAGAGGAAGTTGTTCCTTTTCAGTAAATGTAATTGACAGACGAGTCCCAAAGAGGCCAGACAGTCATTTTCTGTACAGCTGCTTGAAAATGTTTGTAATGGACGACTCTGTGTGGCCAGACAACTCTTAACAATACGACTCTCGAGCCGAACACAATGCAAATTCACTACGGCGCTGGAGTCAACGCGATGCCCGTTAGCTCGCCCCCCTCGCACACTCACCGATTGTGTTATGTGATTGTGTGGCGCTCTCATATGCATACTGGTTTCCTGAATGCTCGCAACTAAGTTGGACTTTGTTCTTTCCGGGTCTAGTTGAACTGTGTGTTTTAGACTGAGCAAACACACAAACGCCCCCCCCCCCCCACACACACATACACACAGATTGCAAGAATTGCACAGCGGCGAGGCAACAGCAGTACACTACTCCATGACCTAGTTATGCACACAGAAGCGTTGGAGGAGAGCGCTGGAATAAGCATCCTGCTGCGGTTTCATAAAGCGACATATCGGAGCCAAAGTGATGAAGCTGGTTGGAGGCTATTAGATTATTAAAGCTCATTTAATCGCGGAACAACGGGAGGAGACACGAGACAGAGACAGGGACGAGGAGACGTGCCGTGACTCAAGCTGGTGGGATGTGCTCTCGCGTGGCCGTCGATCTGCGCGACTTGAGCACATCTGGAGCGCAGAGCGCACACACACACACACACACACACACACACACACACACACACACACACACATCAGCTCAAAAGGGTCGCCCGCCCGGACAAAAAGAGACTCGCACACACTTCCCCATTCAGCACGACTTCTGGTAGACACACACTCGTTCACGCTGCCGCGTGTGTACAGCCAGTGAGACGCTGGCGCCGCTGCCAAGTAGCCATCAGGGCCCCGCCGCTCGCCGCCGCCACGGTGATCTGTTACCATAGCAGCCGCTCTCCCTCACGGTAGCTCTTGCTCTCTCGCTCTCATCGCCCTCAGCTCAGAGGCAGTAGTGTAAAGAGGGAAAGCTGGTGAAAAGGAACGTGTGGGGGGGGGGGTCTCGCCGTTCCTGCTACTGAGCATCCATGAATCTGTGGAGTTGGTCCCCCCCCCCCCCCCCTTCCCGCAGCCAATTGTACGCCGCCGGTCTGTGGCACAACGCCCGGCACAGCCAGTCAGAGCCACCCCCCCCGCTCTGCCGAAACACGACGAGAGTGTCGTGGACTTGTCAACGATACCACTGATGTGACAGACAAATATAAGCTGTCTGATGGCTGCCGATGTCATTAAACACAAGTGGCTCCAAACCAAGGTGAAGAACCCCGGATCCTTTTCCACCTGTCCCTCCCTCAACCCCGCCCCCCCTTTCCTTCTCCCTGGGGCCGTCTTTCTTTTGCTCGGTTGTTTCTCTCTCTTCGGGTCCGTCCGTGGTTCGGGCTCCTTCTCCGTGTTTGATGTTGGGTTCAGCTGGCCTTTCCTGCCTTCTCCTTTGTTGTTGTGTCCAGGGAGGACAGGTGTTGGACACAATACGTCCCCCTCTCTCTACCTCTCCCTCGCACATACACAACCGCACAGCTGTCCGACCCCTCCTGGTTGACCATCTGGCCATGACGCCAGCCCCCCCCCCCCCTCTCCCCTCCCCCCGTCCCTTCCATCACTTTCTCTCCTTCCCTTTTATACTATTCTCTTTACATATGTGCATAAGACTGAATAAACCCCAGTAGCCACATCAATACAATGTCTTTACCTTCCAGAGTGAAGTGCAAGGGATCAGAGGAACTCGCGAGCAGCAACAGGCAGACGAGTTGAATGTCCTGATGAAAATGTATGTAATGACGTAACACGCTACCAAGGAGAACGTCGGGGCTGAAAGTATTAGCTGATTTAAAATCATTTCAAAGGAATTCCTTTGACAACGCACCTCCCGTTCGGATTTGATTGAGATATTTGTTAACAGGAACTAAAAACAAAAAATAAGAAATTGCCTGACAATGTTATGGGGAAAACTGTGACAACATTCCAGTATTTGGGTCCGATGGTCCCCTCGGGGGCGGGGCGGGACGGTTTGCAAGCACGGCTTTGTCTCGCCAACGGTTTTGAACAAGTCCCGGACTTGTTCGGTGCCATTTCCAGAGGGACTTAACATTGAATCCCAGTTTGTGTCGCCGCAAACAAAAACAAACAAACACACACATCTCCAGTCAGACCGATGTGTCCCACACGGCCCCACGAGCCCATAGATCAACAGTTGTTTGCTGTTAGTCTGCCCGGCCGTTTCATGTCGCCAATCATGTCTGAACAGTTGTTCTTCATTATCAGCGTCCGGCTGTGCGGCAGAACTCTAACCCGCCATCAGATGCTCAAGTGCCCGCTAAGTGATTAGCGGGCACTTCTACCCCTGTTTAGCTTTGACTGCTTCTTTTCCTTCTTCTCGTCTCACACTTGTGTGTGTGTATTCTTTGTAGCTGCAGGCGGAGCCCATGTTGTTGAGTTAGAGAGGGAGGGGGAGGAAGAAGGGATGGGGTGAGACAGAGAGAGAGGGAGGGAGGGAGGGAGGGACAAGGGCTGGGTGGATCTGTTGATTTACTAAAGACTCAAACACGACCGGTCTCCCCTCCCACACACCCACTCACACGTCCCTCTCCTCATCCCCCCCCCCCCCCCTCCCTCTCTCTCTCTCTCTCTCTCTCTGTCACCCCCACCCCCTCCTGGCGTGATGGTACAGCTCCAGAAACAGGAAAGAGCCGCAACTCTATAAATAGAGAGGAGCTGCTCAGCCAGGAACCACACAAACACACACACACACACACACACACACACACACACACAGTTTCCCCTCACTTGTCCCCTCATTTTCTCTCTCTCTTTGTTGCTTCCTTGCTCTCTGCTTGGCCTTTTTTTTACTTGGACTGTATCTCTGAGGGATAAACACAGAGACACACACGTCCTTGAGTTGGATGATAATTAGCTGTGCGTTCAATGCTAATGTTTGTAAATGTGTCTGTTTACACACACTGCTGCTTATCCTGCTGCCTTTTTCTTTCCCTCGCTCCCTCTCAAACTCACAAGCACACCCACACACGCACACAGACACACACAAGGACTAAGACTAAGGTCTCTGTCAGTGAGTCGGGGGTTGGAGATGGATGGGGGAGTCGGGGAAGGGAAAAGTGATGGTTTTCTGTGGCCCCTAGCGTTTTATGTCTGATCAGCAGGTTTGAAAGTGCTGATAACACATGTACATGTGGACGCTTACAATATATTTTGTCGTGCACACACACACACACACACACAGAAATAACACAGCTGTAATAAACCAAACCACCTTAGTGTACTCAAACATAGCCCTCACAGCAACTATGGAATTCATAAAATAGTTAATAGTTAATAATATTGATAACTCTTACTGTCTGTGTTTGTTATAATTGTAATAAGTAATCATGGCTTTATATCCAGAGTTCCATTCACACTTTTCCTTTGGGCAGGACATGATTTCTGAAAGCACAGCGTATCCCGAACCAGAGGCACACCAGTGTGTTACTCACATCTGCCAACACTCAAACTGAAATTCATTTGCAGAATTGGAAGGTACAATTTGGAGTTCTTGTTGTTTGGAAGAATAGTGTTGTGTGTGTGTGTGTGTATTGAAATCACGGGTGCATCAGACCCCGTGTGTACAGGAGGCAGACCGGCGGGCGCTTTCTCTCTCTCGCGCACGCGCGCGCACACACACACACACACACACACACACACACACAGAGCGTTATGTGGAATGGTGGGCAAATGTTTCTTTTGTTTGTACCTTACTTTTGTTACTTGGTGCTTTCCGTCCTTCACGGCCATACTCTTTTTTGTGTGTGTGTGTGTGTGTGTTTTGTCCATCTGTTGCCCAATGTTCAGGGATGCGGTCAGGGAGACTAAACACGCTCAGCTTGCAGAATTAAGACATTCCAAAAAATATGGAGGTGTCAGAGTGGAGGCCATGAATGTTGTACGCTCAAAACTGACCTAACTCTTTGTTAGAAGGAAGACAAGGACACAGGCTGACATGAGCTACTCCCCCCCCAGTTCCCTCCCCACTGATCCATTCGTCATGCTAAGCTAAGCTAACCATCTGCTGGCTCCAGCTAAATAATTAGTGCACAGACACGAGAGTGGTATCAATCTCCTCATTAATTCCTTCCAAGGTCTTAAGCTCTCCCTGAATCTTTAGTCTACTCACCAGTTAGTCCTTTTGGGCATTGACCAAGTTCTTGTGGGTTTCAGTGACTTGCTCAAGGACCCTTCAGCAGGATAGATGCTTGCTGACGTATGCTTGAACCAGCGCCCTTGAGATGAAGGACAGACTCTTTCCTGTTTCCCCTCTTAATGTGCGCCCGTGTCCTCCCATTCCACCGCACCCAAATGACTTTGTGACATTTGTTTTATAATGAGCCTCGCAGTCAATCTTTGAGGCCATTTCGCTTTATTAGTAAGAGCAAATAAGGCTTGTGTGCCACCTTTCTCATCTCGCCATCATTCAACAGAATAGAAGGGCTCTAGTTTTTGTCACCACCCCTGATTTTGTAGGATTGCGACATTCAAGCTGCTTTCGATATTATGTCAGTGTAAAATAATCCTAAATGTTCATTCAGTATGATTTTTTCCAGGTGATTTTCCTACAAGTTTTTCAGTCATTCCATGAAGACGTTCTTCCAACTTGGAAGTTGTTATCGCAAGTTAGAGACCCCGCCACTTAACCGCAGCATTTACTGCCAGGTAATAGTTTAATATACTGTAGTGGATACCCGCCAGAGTTTTTTGTCATAACCCCCCTTAACAGCACATACACACATACACACACACACACAGCGGTACTTCTTATTAAAGACCTGTTTGATTTAATTGACTCATTTCACAGTCTAGTGGGTCAGACCAGGAACGAGCACACAACACATACACACACATATTTTCAGGCAAAGCACATGCTTGCCTGCACCAGGGAAACAAAATGAAATTTGGACAATTACGACCCATATTTGTGGATCTGTGCTACCTGATTGTATTCACTACATTATTCATCTTACACAACCGATGTTGTGATTTGTTTACAAATGTAGCTGATAATTAATTTTCTTTGACAGATTTCCCATATGTTTGCTTTTTATTTGAACTGCAGACTATGACAATAAGCAGTGGACGCCGGTGTCTGAGGTCCAGTTTAGTTATCGGATTGCTCCTTCCGTGGCTTTTTTTTCCGTGGATGCTCCTTTTGTGATGCTGAGATCAGGATTCATCTGGACTCTGCTTTGTCTTTTACAGTGTTCATCACCTTGCAGCCACTGTGTGTTTTTTTTTTTCGTGAATGCCACGAACGTATCCCGCCTATTAGTGACGGCACTGTCCCCTGCGCTCAGTGTGGGGAACGGGACGAGGAGATAATGTGACAGCGAGGCAGAAAGGGTGAAGAGAGCCTGTCTGGCATGGAGTAAATGTCTTGCTTCATTTTCAAAGAGGAGTTGATTGACGTGTGGCTTTTGATTAGGTTTCCGAAAACCGTTTGTGATCAACATCAGGAGGAACACACTATGTTTTGTTAGCTGTAAGAGTGTCATCCCATACTCAAAATGGCTCTGCCGTGGCCCAGCATCCTCATGTCAAGTGGCAGGTCTGCCTCCATATGGAGTCCTCCTCTAATGCGACTGTCTCGACGTGTTCTTTAAACGTTGAGGCTCCGGCTTTCGATAGGATGCTCGACCTTAAAAGAGAGGGAATCGGTGAGAGGGAGGAAGACTGAGGATGCAGCACACAAAGCACCAGAGCAGCAGGTTGCTATAACAACAGCACCTTAGTGGTTCCATCGCTGTGTCTCTCCTCTCCCTCCCTCTCTGATCACCCTCTCATCGTTTGCTCCCTGCTGTCACTTGGCGCGCTGCGCCTTCCCATCGAGCTACCTATCTCCTCCTCCTCTCTCCCCCATACACACCTCCCCGCCTCCTCTTCTTCTTCTTCTTCATGGTCTTGTTTCTCTTGAATTCAAAGAAAAGAAAGAAGAGAAAACCATCTGCCTGACAAATAATTCCTTCTTTTGAACTTGTGTGTGAATGTGTGTGCGTTTCTCTCCCTCTCTCTTACCTTTGTCATCCTCCCTCCTTCTCGCTGTCTGTTGCGTGAGCCGACAGAGGAGCAGTCAGCAGGTGTTTGTGTCAAAGAAAACAGAGAGGACGGGAAACGAGCAGCGCGGTCCTCCTTTTTCTCTCTCTCCCGTCTTTTCTCTTTTGCATCCTCTCGTCCTTTTCATGCCGACGCTCTTTCCCCGGCCGCTCGCTGAGCACTCCGGCTTCATTAAACCGCTCCAAAATTCTTTGTCTCTGACTCTCGATATCTCTTTCTCTCACACGTGCCAACACTCGATTCTCTCAATTAAGGATTTTAATAAAAAAATATATATATATATATATAAATGCGGCGTAATGAGTAAAGGTTGCCAATAGCGACAAACGAAACAAAGGATTGGTGCGGTTAATATTAGTTTTTTTTTATCCTGTTCCGCTCCTCAATCTATGCATACTGATAACGTTCTACTTCTTTGTTTCTCTCAAACTATTCAGGATTGTATCAAGTAGGTTAAACTGGTAATGATTTCTTTTCTTTTTTTTTTTTACAGGTGGGTCTGTGAGTGAGTGTGCATGTGTCTGTGGGAGGGTGCTGTAGTTCACGGCACCTGGATAATAATTACGGGAGTTTTTATAGGTGGGCTTTGAAAGCCGAGTCCGTTATTATCAACATGAGTCACTGGCATTTAGGGGAAGCCGTCAACACACACACACACAAACACAGAAACACACACAAAAGCTGTGTTCAGAAGACCTGAATTATTGAAACCCATTGATTGCAGGACCACACGCACATACACAGTTGATGAAGTTGTGTCGTGACAGAGGAGATGTGTGTTTTCCCGTGTTTTCCTCAGTTGTTCTCCTAATGGCTACACCGGCATAATAGTTCACACACGCACAAACACACGCACAGACACACTATAGTTCTGGCTGTCAGTACTAATGGTGTTTATCATGCCATAAATATAATTAGGCTGGCTGTCAGTCATGGTGGAAAAGAGTGGGGAAAGCTAACCTGACAGCCCCGCCCCACACATACACACACCAGTAAACCAAGACAGTCAAAAAGGGAGGATTTATGTGCTTTGTGTTGTCGCGTGTGTGTTTTGTGATGTAGTTTCTTTGTGCTTCTACCAGCTTGAGTGGGTCCACCTCAGGGTCAGAATACAATCTGAATATATTTTGTATGTTGTTCCATCTGAATAACAAGAGCTAAGCATGCATTTGCACACACACAGGAAGCAGTGATGCTTCCCGTGTGTGTGTGTGTGTGTTTGAATCTCTCACATGGAGGCATGAGGAGTTTCACCTTTGTGCTGTTTTTCCTTTTACATTATACATATTCTTTACAGCCATCTTTGTTTTAATTATCCTACATTGCAATACTGAACTGGTTATTTAATTCCACCTCCTTTAAAAAGGAAGCTACATTCATTTCTTTTACAAATCAAATCAATTGCAATACCAGATATTAAGCTATGGGGGCAGAATGACCTGCTATTATATGCTACTGAATTCAGCGCCTATGTAGAAAAGATGAATGATACTGGATCTTCATCATCCAATCTTTGTGGAGTATAGACAAGCTCGTGCCTCTGTTTTTAATACAAACATTGTCTTCTTTTCGAGTAAATCTTACACCTTTGCTTTCTGTACAAAATTTGCACCCAGAGATTCTTTCACAAATGAGGTCCCTCTTTCCAATCCATCATTTTAATAGCATCTGCTGTTCCTCTGCCAACTTCATCAGTGTTTGAAGTTAGGAGTAAAATTGAGATTGAGAGTTTATTGCATTTTGTGGAAATTGCAAAAAAAACCAACATTTTGATGCACTCTTATTAGGAAACAGCCTCTGGTTCTGAAATTTGTCGCTAATGAGGAAGTGCCATAAGCCTCCCGGTGCCTTCCCCCCCCCCCCCCATCAGTGGACACCTGCAGACTTGTAACCATCAGGCGCACACATTTCCATTCATATTACTATTCAGTATCCGCTCCCTTGTGGTCCACACGTGCAAATCTTCCAATCCTCCCTTCATCCCATTTGGTAGAGATAATGCTCCATGACGTTGTTTGCCAATTCCCATTGTTTACCTGAGCATACCCCTCCGCCAGCACACGACTACAGTGTGCCAGTGACAGTGTGCTGCAGGGAGTTACCAGCTTGGTGACCTAACACAAAGACTCACAAGAAGGTTGTAATGGTTAAATACTCCCTCACCCAGATTTGAAGGCCATGTCCTCATCTAATGCTGACGCTGTCCCGCCCTGAATCTGTACTCTGAACCCAGAGCAGTTGGCGCAAACATTTCTAAATAGATTGTTGCAACCTTCTTAGAAAATGTATGTGTTGAGGTGAAATCATACACACTACCGGTCAACGTTTGAACGCATTTTGTCATTCAATTCAATGAGGAAGTGTGTGCAAACTGTTCACAATTGTGTATCCGTTTTCTACACTTTGCTTTGAGGTTGGCAACGGCGACGGGATGCTGCTGTTTCATAAATGTTTAAACTTGTTTAAGCGTTTTCAAAAAGCACATTTTTCTTGATGTGATGGAAAACACATGCTTTGTTTTGGTAAAAGGCCAAAATGGTGATGGATTGTTATTGATTTGGTTGGCACGCTCTTATTTCTTTCTCTTTCTCTCACTTCTCTCCTGCCATGACTGTGTTTCGGTTTGCTGTACCTCCATAACTGCTCTCCTCTTCAACACAAGTCTATCATCGGGATTTGCTTAATTGCCAGCCAGTGTTTGTTAGCACCCTGTTGTTATCTCGTCTGCGGCATGACAGAGACTGTTAACTTTAGCGGACTGTCTCCCGTACAGCTAAGAATGGGGTGTGGATTTAGACTGGGCAGAATTGATCGGGAGAATACCACAGACGGAACAAGCTGTTCTTTTGATCTTTCCTTCCTTCCTCCCTTCCTTAGAAGACCTTGAGTCCAGCCTGCCAATCACTCATGGAGGGCGCTGCTTTGCCCATGTTTTACTCAGTGCTTAATAAAATGTAAACATGCATGAGAACATCTTTTGATTTTCAGCACACCTCCGCATTCACAAGACAGTTGTTGCCTTATTGACTTGGTTTGATGCTTCCCATGTTAGCGCCCTGAAGGCCACGGCAAAATCCTTATATTACTAACATTTGCCATCACTCCCCTAGACCTAATATATTTTCTCTGTCATTTTTGTTACAGCTCCAGGAGACTGTAAAGAGGAAACTGGACAGTGCACGATCGCCTCTTAATGGAGAGCAGAACGGCATCTGTGATGGAGGCAGCTACTCACCGACCACCAAACGGGTACGAAAGGAGGGCTCCGGTGGTTTGGACTCACTAACAGGTCTCCCTAACAACAACAATACCGGTAATGTTCCACCCATATCTCCACTGCATCACCAAATGGACATTAAGCCCCTACTCGGCGGGCCCAACACTTCTACCGGAAATAACACTACAAACGGCAACGGCAACCACGTGGGTCAGGCATCTGACGAGCTGGGCAAGAACGGCAGCAGCCATCTCGCAGACATGAAGCTCAATGGCTCGCTAGACCTGGAGGACAGCTTCGGCCTCCTCAAAGACCTGAAGCAGGAGCCGCTGGACGACGGCGGTGGGATGGAGTCCTCTGATCCGCAGTCCCTGTCCAATCAGAACAAACTGTTCTCAGACATCAACCTCAACGACCAAGAGTGGCAGGAGCTAATCGATGAGCTGGCCAATACTGTGCCAGAGGACGATATGCACGACCTCTTCAATGAGGACTTCGAGGACAAGAAAGAGCCAGATTTTGGCAGGCCGGCCAACAATCAGACACCAGGCCCACAAGAAGCCGCTGGGAACGCAACGGCTCCACCAGCAGCGGCGCTGCCCCTTCCTCCTCCTCAGCCCCCACAGGGAGTGCCACAGGGCTCTCCACAGGTCAGTACCAAGCGGCTACACCCGATGTCCAACGCCAGGAGAACTCTTAGGGAATTTGGTCACATAGCAATATTATTATGAGGTTTTCTCTAAATGGGGAATTAAAGTACATCTGTTTCTGTTTTACTCATTTGGAGGACATTTTAGAACACCATAATAACCTGTGTGCACAATACACAGTACCGTTTAAGATCCATTCCTGATACATGGATTCCAGTTGATGGTTAGAAATAGCTGATCAGGCCATTTGTCTTCTGTTTAGACATATCTAAATCACGTATACATATAAATAGAGCTGTGTGGTGAAACAAACATGAAATGCTTAAATGTTGGGGGTTATAATATAGTTATAGTGTATAGTTCTTTATTCTGAACTAAGGTAAAGGCCACCCTGTATTTTGTTGAACTCATTTGAGAGTTAATAGTTCCTGCGACTCACAGGATTCTTTTGTGTTTGGATTCCTCAGGTTCGACCGTCTTCGTCAGGCCCTCAGTTTGCCACCACTGCCAATGGGACGCCACCTCAGCAACCTTTGCAGCAGTCTCCAGCAGTTGCCATGGCCTCAGGTTCGCCGTTGCACAACTGCGTGGCTCGCTCCCCTCAGACCCCAACCCAGGCTCAGACACAAGCAGTCTCTAGGCCTGGGAATGGATACATGATGAATCCAGGCCCAGGGGTAAGTCAGGTGGGAACAGGACCCGGAGCGGCAGGAGTGGCCCCTGGAGGTCAGCCTGTTGGACCAGTGACGCCTGAACTTTCTCCAGCAGAGCAGCTCAAGGCAATGGCTCAGCAACGGGCTAAACTGCTTCAGCAGAAGCAGCAAGCAGCTAGCTGGTCACCTGCAGGTGCTCCAACCAGTCCATATAACTCTGGTCCCTTTAACCAAGACAAACCCAACAGCCCAATGATGTACCCACCGCAAGCCTTTAACACGCCACAGGGTCCTCTAGTGGCCGGGATGACTCCCAACAATGTGCCCAAGGCCCCCATGAGCAACTACCTCCCTCACAACCACATGGGTATGATGGGCCAGCCACAGCCAAACAGCATCAACCAGAACGCCCTGTCCAAGCAACAGCAGCAGCAAACAGCAGCCATGTTGTCCTATAACAACACCAAACCGCTGAGTCACTTCAGCGGCAGCGGGGTTGACCACATGAGCCAGCGGATGACTCCTCCCATGGGAGGGAACAATCAGGTCAAGAACCCCATGATGCCTCCCTACATGGGTGGCGGGGGCGGACAGGGCGCGGGGCCCGGGCAGACACAGGGGCCAATCCCGGGGCAGACCGCCCACCTGAGTGAGGAGCAGAAGAGGATGTTGCTGATGAAGCAGAAGGTGTTGAACCAGAACATGCCCTACAGCGCCATGCAGGCTCATGGACAGGTAAGGGAACTTTAGATTCAATCCATGTGGCGAGGAAAAGTTGTTTGCGTTGTACGTGTGACGTGGAGGACGGTGTCTGCAGAGTTAGCTCTTATTCCGAAGGGCTTCTTCAGATACAGAGAGAAAGCATTGATGTCTGGAGACTGTAGTGGTGTTAGTGGGCACTTAACCCGTGACCTTGTGAAGGGACCAATAGCCAATCGTTTTTGCTTTTTCAAATCCTTGAAGCACTGCGTCACATTTTATTGCTGTCAGCTCGAGGTTTTCTATGAAATATACAGGTGACTTACTCCATTTTCACATGTAAATGGCCGAATCGTAAGGAAACGATGAGCTTAATAAACAGTTGACCGGCACGGTTTACACACAATAGATGGCTGTTTTTCAAAACCTTCCAGGCATGCAGCCGTAGAAAGTAAAATGGCGGTAGTTTCCCCAGCAACAAGCCAGTGCTGGGAATAGGCATAGGAAAATGGCCCTGTCGACACTGTATTGATGCCTCTGCAACACTAGCAGCACTGAAAGCCGCCCCCCCCCCCCCCCCACACCTCCCCCTCAACCCAGACACACGAGCGCATGCACTCACACACCACACTAAACACCAAAGCTAAACGGCTCCTTAGCTCATATCCCCAATCTGTCACAGCTGACTGATGGCTGAGATTGGACCACTAAGCCGAGCTAGCCGCTGTCATTACCGAAGGCCCACCTCGGGCACTCTGTTTCCCGAGCGCAGCGACAGCCGCGGGCCACTGTGAGCGCTCTGGTGGTTCACCCAGGTGTCAGGTGTCCTTAATAATTCACGGCACGGAGGGGTTTGAGGAAGTATGGGTGGGCTGCACCTTAAGAATTAAACACCATACGCAAGTTAAACAGCACGCTTCTATGGATAGTGTCATTATCTCAGGGCCATTGTGTTATTGTCAACAGGAAGTGTGTGTGTGTGTGTGTCTGCTTGTTGATGTTTCACTTGTCTCCCTTTATCTCTCTCTCTCTGCCTCTCTTTTGTTCATGATATGGCTACAGTCAGCCAGTCACCTCTCCTTCTTCCTCCTCCCTCCTGGCGAACGCTGCGTCTCCTGTCGTGCTCCTCCTCCTCCTCCTTCCTCCTCCGCTCCTCCCTCTCTCCCCCCTCCCCCCCCCCCCCCCCCTGCCAGAGACACTCAGCACCAATAAAGGAGCCGATTTATTAATATGGGGCCTTTGTGCCTGCTGCCTGAAGGGTTGTGTGTTTGTGTGCGTAAGTGAGTGAGTGAGTGTCTGTGCACATGTATGTTTGTGTGCGTTTCATGGATTTGGGTAGAGGGGGAGTAAAAGGGGGGAGGTGGAGAGATTTATTTGAGTGAGCTGAGGAGAACGGGAGACCGGGAAGAGAGAGGAGAGAGATGCGTAGAAGAGAAGGGAAAGAAATTAAAAGAAAAGAAAAAGGCAAATGCAGAAAGAGAGATTTATTGTAGAGTGAGAATCGACCATATTAAAAAGAAAGTCAAGGGGCTGGAAACGGAGAATAAGGGAGTAGAGTGTCTGAAATACAATATTCACAGTTCTACATGTGTCTAGTTCTGTTGTGATGACATTTATTAGGGTGGAAGGGGGGCCACGTGAGCTTTATTTTAGCAATATTTACAGAATGTGGAGAACATGTGGTGCCAGTTAAAGGGCAAATCCACCAATTTTGTACATCAATGTCCCTCCACCAGGTGAGCGTAACTTTGTTTATGAAAACAATTTCATAATGTCTTTTGTGACTACAGATGGGCTGTCTATTCTGGGAAAATAACTCAAGGAGTAAGAGTTTTTATAATAAAAAAACTTGTTATAAAATTGCATTATAGGTGTTTAAGTGTCCAGTGTTTTCAGAGCTAGATCCACCCTTAGCAGTAGAAGCCACAGTCTCTCAGTTTACGCTGCCTTACTGTTGGTGTTTCTCATGAATTTGCCAACTTTTATATGTTTTGCAATACAAAATCACTGGAATACGTTTTTAATGGAAATGGGTTTTGAAACTGAAGTAACTTGATTACAAGAAATTTTTGTAAAAAAGGCTCTTTAACATGATAGTTCTCAAAACATTTGTGCCCACATTTTGTCTCCTTCGACAAGTTAAAAATGTAAAACTTCAGTATATCATATTGAGAAGTCTTGAAAATAAGGGAAAATACTTAAAACAAGTAGTTTCAATAATAAAGGAGTTGCTAGAGTTTCAAACTGAAATAAAGAATAATTGTTCGATTGTTCCAAATCAGGTCAATTCTTGATGTTGTGTTCTATAGTGGTAATTTGGACAGAAACACACAACTCAAATCTTGCATTAAAAGCTGCAATGCAAAGGACACCAGGTCATAATTCACTCACATTAATATTATATTGCTGTGAAAATGTCTCCTTTAAACAGTTTCCCAAAACTTTGCAATATTTTATTTGAAGACATAACGATAAAGACTCTCACTACGCTCAAGCAGCCCCTGGCTGGTCGGGGCCGCTTGTTATAACAAAGCCGAACGCATCGCTGAACGCCGGCTGCTACGCCGCGGCCAGAGACACAGTGGAGGTGGAAACAGTTTGGCTTACAGCTAATGGAACGTCTTAAACTGCTGACTGCATTGTAGCTGTTTCTCTGCCACCAGGGAAACCGATGATTCCTGCCTTATTTTGGGGCATCCACCACCACGTTTACACCATATTGGTGAAAAAGTCTCAAGTCTAAATAAACGCTAAATAAAGTCGTGGGTACGTCCCGGAGATGTTGCACAGAGCCACTGCAAACACCAGCGTAGATTAGAATGGGAGTATAACCAGTGTGTGTAAGGTGTGTGAGTGAATCCTGAAGGGCTGCACAATTGTTGTGGAGTAGTCTGTGCTGATACCTCTTGTGTTTTTATCTGTTTATATTTAAGTGACACTAGCTGGGTTTGCATTCTGATTTCTTTGTCTGAGTTAGTGTATGTTAAAATGAATCACAGTGTGTTTGTGTGTGTCGTCTCACAGGTGGTGCCGCTCTCGCTCTCTGCTCCATCCTCTCCCCCCTATGTTTGTGTGTGTGTGTGTGTGTGTGTAGCCTAGGCTAATCCAGTTAGCAGCTGCTCGGGGAAACTTCAGCCTCGCTCCTCAAAAGCTCGTTAGTCAAGCTTTAATTGTTGCTCCCTCGCTTTGCATATCGCCATGACGCTAATTTATGCCCGTTGTCGCGGTTACCGTCGCCACGGTGGTGGATGTCTCAGTGGAAGCAGCAAGTGGGGGAGCAAAGGCGCGTGCGTGAGTCTGTGGAAGCTGTTTGTGTGATTGTCTGCTTGCGACGGATGCGGTTGCCTCACTATATATGTGTGTGTGTGTGTGTGTGTGTGTGTGTGTGTAACAGAATGATTATGAGACGGATGTGGCTTGTTGCACAAGCGTCTGTGCAGCTGTGTGAAGCCAGCAGCGCGGGGGCGGGTCTCTGGGGTTGTCTGAGTGATGATTGGGTGAGAATGGATTGACAGGAGTTGGGCTCAGAGGTGGGCTTCTGGTGTCATCCTGATAAATTGGAGCGGGACGTTTTGGCCGTGTGTGTATGTATGTGGATGAGCACGTGGGTGTCGACGTGAGCACATGATTGCGTGTGTGTGCAGGAGATCTTAGTGTAGAACGAAGGAGACGACGCCGGCCTCAATAGCTCTGTGAGTCACGACACAACGACAGAGCTCTTCCTTTATTCTACTTTCTCTGCCCTTCTCTCTCTTTCCAGAGGTGTGCCTCTCCTGTCCTCTCTCTCCCCTTTATCTCCATCCTCTTCTAGGGAGAAGCTGACCTCCACAAGGTCGCAAGGGTGGCAGGCTTAACACACACACATTTATACACACGCACAAACTGAGCCGGCATCTCTCAATCACTGAAATGGACTCATATTATTGGCTTATTTTAGCTTACAACTGATATGTTGTGTCAGTGCGAGTGACGTCACCTAAGTACATGTCAGTCATCTTTTCTTTTATAAAATTAAAATGCTGTTCTGGTGCGGAAAAGAACAATTTGGCGATAGCATCCCATACTGTATGTCGGTCACAAAGAAGGTGCAGTGATACCTCCAGGTGCTTAAATACGTGCGGCGAGATTTATACATTTTCACAATTTTCTGGGCAATATTTGCCCTTAAAAACTGAAATGTAAGTCCAGGTGTACTTACGCATTTCATCATGTTATGAATTTACGTGAAGAAAATGAGACATTTCGCCCACTTCCGATTGCCAAAATCTGTATCGGCCTCAAAAAAGATAATGGGGGAGCGGGGACAGCGAGGCCCCCGACCAAGTCATTTATCTCCCCCTTCCCACCATTTATCCCCATGAGCAGAAGATATTACCTTCCTGCCTTCACTCCCTCCCTCACATACACACATTTCATCTTCTGCTCACTCTGCCTCCCCCCTCCCTCACCCCACCACCACCACCAGAACCACTCTCGCACACACAAGTGAATACGGCTCACTCTCTAGCTCCTCCATCTCTCTCCATCTCTCTCTCTCTCTCTCTCTCTCTCTCTCTCTCTCTCTCTCTCTCTCTCTCTCTCTCTCTCTCTCTGGCACACGTGTCAGGGCTTGAGCTGAGCAGCTCTCAGATCCTGTGTAGAGCCTCTGAGGATGGGGAGGGGAGGCACGTAGTGGTGGGGTGTCTGGGTGAAGCATTGACGGGCGGCAGGGTGGAAACGACCGTCTTCTAGTGTTACCGCTCTCTCCGTGTGTTCCCTTCTGAGATGCTTCCTGTTACGACAAGCACAGGACAAACTCTCTCTGTGCTTCTGCGGTCCGTTTCTTCATTCCTGTTCCCTTTGCTTCTTCCCTCGCCTTGTCTCCTCTCATCCTTTCCTCTCCTCGCATTGCTTTCTTTCGTCCCATGTTACCTTTCCTCTCCTTTCCTCCCCTCGTACTCTCTCCACCTACCTCCTCCTTGCCAACTCTCCCTCTCCGATGCCGATAGGAAGCTGTTAGTGCAGAGCTCCACTCCACTAGTCCCAATCAATAATATGTTTGTGCGCATCACTGTATGTGTGCATATACTGTGTGTCTATATATGTTTCATTTAATACCCTTCTTGTGTCCTTTGTATGCAAATCAATGGGAAGAGTGGGCACACCAAAAGTGTGTGTGTGTGTGTGTGTGTGTGTGTGTGTGTGTGTGTGTGTGTGTGTGTGTTGGACACAGAGGCAGCAGGAGGGAAAACAATTCCCGTGCCTCCCCGATACCCCACAACAAAATACACACACACACACACATTTCACCAACGCTGTTTGGCTCACTCTGACAGCGCTAGAGAAGAAACACACACACACTGAGACAGACCATCCTCACCCTTCTGACACGCCCTGCGGGTGTGAATACAGGGCAGGAGAGGAAATATCAATACTTGCCTTCACCAACAGGCTACTTTTCAGAGGAATGTCACTTCAAAGTGGACTGTTTATCACCAGGGTGTGTGTGTGTGGTTGTGTGCATGCGTGTCTGTAACCAAGCCATTTCAATCTACTATTAACCTCATCTCCAATATTGACCTGCGGGCCTCAATGTGTAGTAAACCAGTCTTGACACAATGTGTCTGCAGGCACATGGTGTCTGTGTATGTGACTTTAAGTATGTGCATATGTAGGAGAGTGTGTGTGTGTGTGTGTGGGGGGGGGGGGTTATGCTGTGTCTGTGGGCCAAAGGGAGGGAGGGAGGGAGGAACGGAGATGCAGTCAGAAGGCTGCATACTAAACAGACTGCTGTCACCCCGCCAGCCCCTCACACACACACACACACACACACACAGAAACCAAAATGCATGCTTGGTTGCTCTACCACTTCTATACACACTCACAAACAATCTGCATTCACACACATACACACACAGACGTGCAGCCACAAACACAGACTCTGCTCATGCCAGCTCAAACTTTGGCTGCCTTGCTCGGCTGCTGGTTGCCATGGCAACCATTGCCCATAGCACCTTGCAGCCTGAATCAATGGCAGCTCCGAGATGAGGGTAGGCAGGGGTAGTATGTGTGTGCGGCTTGTCTCTGTCCAAATGTTACAAGCTATAAGCAGGTTGGACGTTGAGTATAGGTTAGCGATAAACACGGCATCGCTTTGACTATCAAAGGTGTACAAATTGATGTCAACTGTACAGAACATCATTTTTGTTGGGACACGTTGAAAGAGATTGCTGGAAAATCATTTTGCTTTTAGAAAGACAAGAGGTCGCTCTGTTAATTCAGAGTAATAATCCGTTCTTGCCGACTTGCTAATCACCTTTTTTTGTGTTGATGGCTCTAAATATGGCCACCATGCCAAGTGACACACACACACACACACACACAAAGACAAACAGGAGGGACGACACAGATGTGACCCCACCCGTGTCCCCAAAATGCCCCCCACCCTTTCCATCTGCTCAGTCAGATTCACACACACACATGTTGCCACTTAGCATTAACACCACTCACCACTGTTCAGTGGCATGGTCCAGTAGGTACACACGCATGCACACACGCAACAAAAATACCCAGTGTTGTAAAGGCATACGGTTCACCTATGCGTGTCTGTCTGCATGCTCTCCCTCTCCATCCCATGTCACCCCACCCTGCCTGTCACACACGTCCATCACTCTCCCACTCTCCATCACTCCTGTGTGTGGGCTGGAAGGAGGGAGGAAAACACTAAAACGGAGGAGGCAGACGGAGGGGGTGTAACACAGGGGGAGGTGTGGTAAGGCTCTTTGAGGATTAGGTTGAGAATTTTCCCTCTGTTTTACAGAGGAAAGAGGCGGTGTTACTGGTGGTGGGGGTAGTGGTGGGGGTATATTGACTCCTCGGAGCCATTTACCTCAAACGACTCCGACACGGCTAATCCGTTCTTAAAGGAGCCTAATCCAACAGTCTTGTGCCTGATGATACTGAGAGAAGAGAGCGGCAGAAGGAAGACCGGAGAAATGATTCTAATTTGTTGCGTTCAGACAGGTGAAATGCCAAATTTGCGATCAAAAAGCAGTGCTAGGCGGTTGATTTCACACATTTCACAAGATAGACGAAATGTCCCTAGTCCACCATTCCACAATGTCAGTCACTGGTGGGGCTCTGATTCACTACTTGTTCTAATGATGATAATAATAATACGTTTTATTTATAACACACTCTTCATCACCAGATCGCAGAGTGCGACAGAGCCACCAAAACATAGTTAAAACAGTTCAAATAAACTAAAAGCTACGAAAAGTAGAGTAAACATAGAGTGAAAAACGCCAAGAGTTGACTGTGTTGCCCTTAGAAGGTCAGAGAGACTGTTCCATTTGCGTTGCGCTGCTGAGCAAAAGGCCCGGACGCCCACGGTGCGGCGCTTGTTTTTGGGGACCCGGAGGAGCGAGCTGCAGAGCTGTACCGTATATAAAGAAATCATTACATTCACAATATGTGTCTTCATCCATCATCAATGCGTTCTGTGTGTGTTAACACCTGTACTTTTGTGTACTGCGATCCGATGTGTTCCAATGGGATCAATGTCAGGTTCACCGTGCAAAAAGAGGAGGTCTGACGGACCTGCAGTTGGAGGAACTGCGTCCAGGACAGAATATTGGAAGCTATCAAACTAACAACGCGGAGAAACAAGTTTGCTGTTTGGAAGATACACACGTTATTGATTGTGTTGATTCATGTGGGTTAACCATGCTTCTTTTTTTCAGTTTCTATCCAGCATTGGTTAGATAAAAGCTACAGTCTTTGTCCGTGTATGGGTGCACGTGGCGCTCGCACTAGCAGACAGAGAGCACTACCCCCCCCCCCCCCTCGCACACACACACACACACTGAAGTTGTAAACCAAGCTATAATAGCTTCCATTCGTTTAGACTTTCTGGCTATTGTTCCGTAAAAGATTGTGTTGAACCCAGCAGGGAATGTCAACAGAGGGGTGTCGTGCGTTTCTCTGTCTACAAATCACGCAATACAAAGATATTGTCTTACAAAATGAGGTTCGAATTGTGATCTCCCCCGCTGACAAATCATCAATCTCTATGGGGCGGCTGTAGTGTAGAGGCTTTGCCACTGTTGCTGCTGTTAACATGATACATCAATGATATACATGTGTAACATGAGAAAAGAGGAGCGAGATGGAGAATTGAAAGTAAAACATTAGGAATGAATACGCTCAATGGCGAGAAGGAATTGTGACTCGACATGGACTGTTTTTGGGACACGTGGTGGAAAAGTGATCACAACACGAGAGACATCGCGTGATGCTCATTCAAAGGAGAGGAAAGAGAGGACAGACGGAGGGATTCAAAGCGAGCGCAACCTACATACGATCGTACCCGCTTACGGAGAGCGACAGCAGCGCAGGCGGAGAGCAGGAGGGACGGAGTTGTGATTGAGGAGAAGGAGACGAAGGGAGCTCCGGTCTCTCATTAGTGCTCTGAGGCTGGCTGTGGGTCCAGAGGCGCGCACACACACACACACACACACACACAAAATCACGAAAAGGCAGAGAAAACCCACTTCGACACGAGCCCTTGGCTTATGTCTCTCCTTCCTCTCTCATTTTAGAGATTTGTTTCTCATGCTGGTGCTTCTACGAATGTCCGTTCACAATTCATGCACACATCAGACGGCTTTTCATAACCCTTATTTTACCCTTTCCTGACTTTGCTGCGCTTTTGTCTCTCGCCGCCTTCATCCCAACACTCCCAGGTAGTTTCACCCCTTCTGTATATTATTCTCTACCTCCTTTCTCTCCCCCCATTTGTCCTTCTGTAGCGCTCCCTCTCTCTCCATCCCCCAGCTCCTCTCCGTCTCAGCGTGCTGTATATTTAAAGAAAAAAAATTAAAATTAAAATGAAGCCAAATAAACTTGAACCCCCGAGAAGGTGATTGATGGTTTGCACAAAGCTCCCTCCATCTTTTTATTTTCTTCTCCTATCTTTCTTCCCGATATCCCCCTCTCCTCCCTCCCATTGGCACTATAACTCCCTCTCATTCAGTAACAGATACACACGCACACACGATGTGTAGTTTGATTAATTATTTAGGTACACAGGAAACAGTTATGCTCATTTAAATCATTTTTATTAAGGTGTTTGTTACAAGATGCACAATATTTTCAGATGCTTCTGATGATGAGAATTTCGCTTGGGTGTTTACGTCGTGATCTGCAACAACAAAGGCATCATATAACACTATGTTAACAATGACAAATACCCTACACACCTTCAGTAACGACTCAGTACCTTGTTGGTGGAGGAAAATAATCATTTGTTCTTACTCTTAATATCTTCAGCTTAATACCTAGAATGTGACATTGACTTTAGCCTCCATAGTTGAATATGGACGCATTATAACAGTAACTCTGTTTTTTTTCTCAATCTGGCACTTTATAAGGTGTTCTGATATTATTTGCATGTCTTTAGGCAGAGGTCCTTGGTTGGTGAAAGTTTGTTAGTAACTATATTTATTAAATGAATGCAGAAATCTGGTTTCAATTACCATGTTTCTACCATCTCCAGCATTAAAATCCGACTCACCTGTTCCCAGCATGACCTCCGCTTTCTTATCTGAATAGTTCATGTGAGATCAAAGGAACTCAAAGGATCCCTGAGGGGAAGAAGCACCGCGACAGTTGTTTAGATTAAAACGCTCTATAATAGGCATTGAAAACATCAACACAGCAACTTTTAATTGCCTAACATGTTTTACAGAGTTTTAGAGAACATTTATGCTAAAATCTTTGTTAGACAGAACTATATCATTTGGAATGAAACCCTTTGTTTTAGTACCAAAAAACAGTACGACATGCTGCAGAATGCTGATGATTAACTACGATCAGCATGTTGGGCCTTTCTTTATTATTTCCTATTTGTTTCGGACGCTTTAAGGTCACTAATCCGGCTACATGGGCGCTTCCAATCGTTGCACCTGGTTCAAGGTCTCCCCATTAGCCGGGGTAAGTGAAAACACCCGTGCAGGTGTGCAGAAACCTGGCCCACGCCATTATCCATGACGGCTGGTAAGCCCATAACTGTTGCCGAAATAGCCACCATTAGTTATAAAATAGGAGGGTTGCTTGTCTAGTTGATATAGATGTCCTATGTCTTGTAGTCACACCAATAACAGCCAAGAGTCACAGGCTCTTAGATGTTTTGAAATGGCGCCTCTATCATTTTTTATGTTGTTTCGAGCATGTGTAACGAATGTAACTGTTTGAATATGTGGCAAATTCATAAACCCCTCGAACAGAAATATTGAGACTGAATTCTTAATACCAGAGATTTGTGCGCATGCAAGTTGTGTGTCCCGTCGGTCGTTTCTCAGGCTTCCCAACATCCAAACAAACACACACACCCTTACCAGGAAAGATGTCACACTAATTCCGGGACACATACAAAACCACACATTTTACTTCTAGATGGCATGACACACACACACACACACACACACACACACACACACACCAGTGAGGCAGCTCAGCCAAAGATAATTCACTTTAGACAGAGAGCTTCAATTTGGCAGCACTGAGCGTCGGTCTCGCATGCTTCATGTCACTCTGCGCTGCTCTTTGCAGCAGCAAAATCCAATTGCGTAGTGTGTGTGTGTGTGTGTGTGTGTGTGTGTGTGTGTGTTTAATGTAGTTTGGAAAAATGCTCTTTTGGTGTTGTGCTCTGGATATTTGAATGTGGTTTCCAGTTTGTGCCTGAGTCTCTGTAAATTGGTGCTAGAGTGCAGACACTACGTCCAGGGGTGGTGCATGGGTGGAGGACTGCACCCTTCTCAACAGCTGCTCATCAGTGGCTCTGCTTTCCTGCACTATTTCATATGCATCTGTCAACAATAACATATGGGAAATGTGTACAGCAATTTCCCATAGGTTCCCTTTCTTTTTAGCAAAGGGGAAAAAAGAACAAGTCTCCTCCTAAAGTGGTGCAAAATTATGGATTTGTGATCTATATTTTCCCAAAGGAAGCTATGGGTCCATTTTTTATGTCGACACTTTTGCTGATTTAGAGGTTTATTTTGTAATTGTTCAAGTAAATGTTTCCTGAAGACTGATTTCCTCTGAGCCCTTGATTTTTGGCCGCTACAATGTAGGACTCAATTTAGCGATAGTTCTCCCTAGAGATTCAGTTTATTGTTTTCTTAGTTTATATTTTTTGGTCCGTAAAATATCCCAAGAACAATGCCTGTTACAAAGAAAAGCCTTTTTTATTGGTTCATACAAAATAAGTCCTCAATATGTTTGTAAGTGACATCAATCAAGATGTCGGTCTGCTGAAATATGTCTTTATTTTTTTTGTTTACATTTGAATGCCTCCATCATCCATGTTTATAGAGAACATGCACAACGTGCAGACTAAAAATCAATTGAAATCCCAAATTGTATGTGAGAAATGTGCAATGTCAGGAGCCTTAGAAGAACGTTTTTCCTTCGCTCATATTTCATGAGCATTCCTCATCTACCGTCACTCTGTGGAAGGAAAAGACATTGTCATTCTCTCCCATTTCTATCGTTTCCCTCCCCCCTCGTCCCCCATCCCGCTCTCCCTCATTGTAGTTTTTGCACCAGGAGGCAGAAAATCTGCTTACCCTACACACGGGATGTTTGCCGGTCTCTCACAAAGTTCAAACTGCTTGTGAAAGCACAGCTTTACCTGCACCATTGACAGCAAACCTGTGTGTGTGTGTGTGTGTGTGTGTGTGTGTGTGTTTACCTTATGTGCGTACATATTATCTACCGAGTGTGTGTGTGTGTGTGTGTGTGTGTGTGTGTGTGTGTGTTTGTGCGCGTTTGTGTGTGTACAGTACACAATACCTGTATATGTTGGTTTGTGGCTCTGCCTCTTCACAGGACATGTTTCTTCTGTCCTGAGGGCATTGATCTTCATGTTGAAACAAGACGGTGGACTATTAACACATTTTAATTAAAGATCAGATTTGTTAATTTCCTTTTTGCGGCACGGAGGATGCCGTGACATAAAGGAGTGGCGTTTCCACTCACATGCTTCTTTTATACCGCATCAGCACAATTGAGAATAAGTCCAGCTGTCTTGTACTGTACAATGATTCTTCTGACCCAGTATGATATTTAACTAGATAGCGTACACATATTTAGTGAGTTAGAGCGTGGAGAAGTCACAATTGAGAAACAACAGCAGAATTTACCGACAGGCTTCCTAAAATATCCACGTGCAGGACAGGTTGTATTCCGTCATCGTTAGCGGTGGGAATCCAGACCGTCAGCACATCGACCAGCAAGAGCGTCGCAGCGGCTCCCGCATCCCCAGTGGTACCAGGACCGGCACCTCGGACTGCTGCTGCAACGCAAAGAGTGTAATTTATGATGCACCCGGGCTGAACAGCAGCAGGGAAAGAGGCCTTTATCAGCTGCACATGTCATCATTGTGGATAAGTGTTGAGTTCATAAGTTCACTTTATCCCGGTTCCAGCCGGGTCACGTTGACCTGAGCCCGTGGTGCTGAGAGATAAGATGGCTGTGAAAAAGTCGTACTATGTTCATGCATAAAAGAAGTAAGCACTTCTTCTCTCTCTTTCTTCTTCAAACGAGCTGCTCGGCGGGGTTCAGGGGCGGCTGTGGCGCAGAGGTAGAGCGGGTCCTTCTCTAAGCGGGAAGTTTAATTAATATGTCCAAGTTTCTTTGCTCCCAATTTGCTCCTGAGGCTTTATTAACAGTGAGGGTGCGTGAATGTGAATTAGTAGATTGCTTTAGATCCTGACGGGCATCTCATGAGCAACCTTTATTGTGTTCTGGTGATGGTCGGTCTCTTCTGTTTGCCTGTAGTTGTGTGTGTGTGTGTGTGTGTGTGTGTGTGTGGGGCATGTGATTGCGTAATGGACTCTTTCTCATGTAGTGAATGTGTATTGATACAATGGTGTCACAATGTAATGTTTTGTCATACTGTGTAAATCTCAACATATAAAAGGCTTATTGCATTCGATCGGGGAACCTTTTTGGGAAGCAGAGGCAGCTCTAAATGTAGAAATGCTAAATACCTGCATTAGACCCTTTTAATACATTAGTGCTGGTTATGTAGGTTAATCCACAACAGCACTGTCTGCTGTTACAGCCTGGTTCAGCTCAGCAGGAGCTGAGCATGCTGGCAGGACGCTAATAGACTACACATCATGCTGACGGTGTCATTCAGAGGACTATTTCTGGGCGTTAGAGGTTATATGTTTCTTTTTTTTGAGAGAGAGAGACAACTCACACCCATACACAGAAGCTCCGACGAGCTACCATCCGTCTTCAGTTACCGTTTGACACCTGGACTACTGGTTGACTGCTATTTTGCGTCACACACTAGGGCATTTGGGTCACTTTTTGGCCAGTTTTGGACACCGTCACATGGCAGAAATAGACTCTGATTCTGATTCATTCATCACAATGTTTTCCTTTAACCAAAATAGGAATGTAGCAGTGGCAGCTGCTGACCAGGTATCTCTCTGAGAACGAGTACACAGCGACACACACACACACACACACACACACACACACACACACTTCCCAGCATTTCCTTTACTCTCTTGTCTCATGTATGGACCAGAATCCACATATATCGGAGAACTGAGGAACCTCATTTAGTGTCCTACTCCAGCCCCTGAGGGCTGAGCCGTTCCACCGCGGCCATTAATCAACACAGCAGGAGCATTAGCCCTCTTCATGTGGGGGTTTAAAAGCTGTAGGTTAGGTGACATACCAGCCGGCCGCTTTAATTTAAACTGGCTTTCTTTTTTTTTTAACCGCTGCAGGATTTTTTTTTTCTCCCCAGAATGGACTTGGACTTCTCCAAGAACATGGAAACGGAATAATCTTATCCCGACCATTTGACACCTTAAGGTCCGGTGCAATCTGCACACCTGCACACCTCTACATCTTTATCGTCCATGTGATTGCTACCATGTAGATGGTGGAAAGATAAATCATTCAAGTGTGCGCATCGAATATCCATTTTAGAGACGCTGGGTAGTACAACGTCCATTTTTTTTCTTCTCCATCTCACCTTGACATGGATGGCACCAGGCGTGGGTTTATGACACTGTGTGTGTGTGTGTGTGTGTGTGTGTGTGTGTGTGGGTCTTCCAAAAGGCAGGCCAGTATATGTTTCTCCCTTTCTTTTGAAAAGCAATCTCCCAGGTTGAGCTCATAAATCAAGGTGGGGGATGGAAATGTAACTATGTGACTCCCTCACAGGGCTTATACCTGTCGTTGGCGGTGGGGGGGGGGGGGGGGGGTCGAGCGTGTGCGTGTGCAACATCCCCGGATGTTGTGTTTGCTTTGCAAACCCGGTGCCGGCCTCTCCGTTGATGACATGGCCGCTCTCTCTCTCTCTCTCTCTCTCTCTCTCCTGCCCCGTCGTACGGCCTCCCGTTTCCTCCTCGCGGTGGGATTAGACCACAGGGCGGCCTGTTGAAAATGAATAGCGATTTAGGGAACTAATGAGCTGTAATGGACAATGTGCCCTCGGAGCAATGGTAATGCAGTCACTCATGAGGCAAACTCCTCCCATTTCCCTCGTAAGCGTGCGATGAGAGAAACTTGTGTGGGGGGGAGAGAGAGTGAGAGCGAGATATCTGGTTTCTGATAACGAGATGACATGCCAGTCATCTTCGACGACACGAAGCAGAGAAACAAATGTACAAAATTGGGCAGATCAGAGTTTTCATGTTCAGCCAATCACTAGATACCATAACTACCTGCACAATGACGCACAACCAGTCACGCGCTATATGTTTGCACAAACCTGAACATTTGTGAAACATTGGAAAAGTAACCAAAATGAATTAGCAGACAGCAAGCACACTAAAGCGGTACATATTTGTGAGGCTTGTCGATGTGTGCAGTGCGGATTCAGGACACACGAGTTATTGCAGAGTAGTAATCGTAGTTTGTAGACAATAAAACATTGATGTCATTACCATCATCCTGCGCTCCGCCATGATTCGTTTGTTTTGTGTCCTCGGGACCTGTTTGACTCGAGTTAATGGAAATCCACGCTTGTGTTTGGGCTGCCCGTAACGGTGCTTTGTGTTTTCCGGGGCGACGTGTTCTTCAGGCAGCAGGTTAGCAGCAGGGCTTAGCTTGAAGGATGCTTGTCCTGTTTGTCTGGGTTAATACAATGTAAGCTCTCCTGTCTCACTATTGTCGAGGAGTCTTAGGAGTGCTTCTCATCCGAATGCTACACCACTGAGCTGATTAGGACGTGTGTGTGTGTGGGTTCATTTGTATGTTTCTGTGAGTGTGTGTTTGTCTATCTGCTTTTACATCGTGTAAGCTTAGGGTGTGTGTTTGCGTATAAAAACACTCATTGCTGTAACAACTGCAAGCCCTGTGTCTCAGTAAACGTGTGTTCACGTGTGTGTGTCTTTTGAGGCTCCTCAAAAGCTGCCTTTTTCTCTCTCATGTGGCTTCTCCGGTATGTTTGGTATTTCACAAAGCCTCAGATCCTCCTCTCCTCAAAGGCTGGGGGAGGTGTGTGTGTGTGTGTGTGTTAGCCATTATCTCTCTCTCTCTCTCTCTCTCTATTTCTCACACACACACACACACACACACAGACTCATGGATCGCTTTTCTCTGCCTTGTATTCTTGTGTTGAGGGGGGTGGGGTTTTAAGAGAGTGTGCATGACACTGTGATTAACACACACACACACACACGCTGTGGCTCTGTCGCTCCAAGTTCCTTTCCTTGTTAGCGTGCATGGTAGGGATTTCTTGGTTGGCTGGAGAGGCGGCAATTGTGTGTTTGTATGCACATATGCTGTGTGTGTGTGTGTGTGTGTGTGTGTGTGTGTGTGTGTGTGTGTGTGTGTGTAAGGGTGTGAGCGTGTGTCTAAGGAGACCAGGATGTAATTAGACACAATGGCAGTAGCTAATGGAACAGCTGCCTCTTTGTAAATGTTGCTTGCTTCTGCCATGTGGATGCGAAAACACACACACACACACACGCACACGCACACATTTTCTGTGACCCACTAGTCGCTCAGAGCACCACACCGTGTCTTGTCCCTCATCTTTTCTTTCCTTATTTCTTTGTCTATTTCCTTTCTTTCTTTCTCTCTCTCGTTCTCACCTCTCTGTCACCTCTATACGCTTTCCTTCCTCTTTTGCCCTTTTCCCCCCCGTGCGTGTTTTTCAACTTTTCGCCTTGCCATTGCACTCTCTGATCTCACACACAAATCTTTTCATGCTCACTGCCTTTTTTCCTCTTCTTGTACTTCTTTACTTACTGCTCTCTCTCTCTCTTTCCCTCTTTTCCTCTCCCTCTCTTTGTGTAGTCTCTGTTCCTTTGTGTGGCACTATGTCTCTATCTCTGCTCTCTCTCTCCCTCTCTGCCTCACTTTTCCTTTTTCCCTCCCTCCCTGCCCTTTTCTTGGCTATCAGACCATTTTTCCAGCAATGAGACTCGTCACCCCTCCCCCTTTCTGTCCTCTCCCTCCATCCCCTGCCTCCTCCTCTTGCTCCTCTTGTGGCAGAGCTCCTATCAGAGAAATGATAACACTACGTCACTCTAATCTGGCAGAGGAGGGCTGCAGCAGCACGCACACACACTGAGCTCTTTATTTTCTCCGCTGCTGCTGTTGCAAAGACCAAATCTGTCTTGTTTTCCATCTATCACTCTCTCCCTCCATTTTTTTCTCTCTCCGGCCCTCCCTCCTTCTCGTTTTTTCACCCTCCGGACCAGAGACCTTGGTGTGTGCGTCTGTGTCAGATAGTCACAACAGTCACCTTCGACGTCATGCGGCTGTATAATCTCCATAGTAACGTGACCTTGCCCACCGCGACATTTCCATCTCGTCCATGTTTCCATCTTTCATCTCTCTTTTCGTTCCGTGTCGCTTTCCTTTGACAGGCAGCCGTCTGGGCCAATTGATAAGGAGGTAAATCTCAGTCTGACCTCGTTGTGGGCGGCCTCTGAGAGAGCGGGAGGGAGAGAGAGAGAGAGAGAGAGAGAGATAGAAGGGGTGGGGTTGTGTGTGTACATGTAACAAGAGGTCACTAATGCAGGCACGTTCTCCCGCCATACCGTCCCTTCAGTCACCTGTGTCTGTGTCAAATAACACCAACGGCAACTTAACCGGGCTGGGGAGCGACTGTAGCTCAGCCGAGGTTTGACGGCGACAATCCGGTGCGGCTGATCGTTTGTTAATGCCTGCCACTGCCGTGTCACCCCAGTCCGGAACGGCACAAACTGTTCCTGTTGAAATTGCACAAGCTTGACCCCCCCCCACCCCCTCCTCCTCTGGCTTGAGCTCTCCGTCTCTTTCCGTCACTCTCTCTTTTTCCTCTTTTTTAAAAAACTTTTTCACACCTCTCTCCCGCTTGCTGTGTCTTTCTGTCACTGCAGCTCAGTTAAGGTGCATTAGTGGAAGAATGGCTGTGAAAGTGTAATTTCAGTTTTCAACTTGTTTTTGTAGGTCAGGTTAAAGGTGAAGACCTCCAAATAAAGTGTCCGGCTGTTCTGGTTTCTCCAGAGTCCTCTATTGGACACATTTCATTTATGAGCACCATACTATCCAAGCTGATAGAAAAGCTTCCACAATACCTGGTAGGTGAGACGCCCCGAGCTGTGTGCGCGCTCATGTGAGTCCAAGGAAGATGTACACACACACACACACATACTCACGTGAAAACAATATTTTGCAAATCGCACCGTTAACTCATTGCTTGTGTGTGTGTGTGTGTGTGTGTGTGTGTGTGTGTGTGTGTGTGTGTGTGTGTGTGTGTGTGTGTGTGTGTGTGTGTGTGTGTGTGTGGGCATGTTTACACCCACACATGCAACAGGGAGTGGGGGTATGTTTTCATTCCTATTGCCTTGTATTTTTTTCATCCTTATCCTCTCCTTGACTGACTCGCTCTAATCTTTCCTTCCCTTCCCTCTCCGCCTCTCTACTTACATTACCTCTCCTCCCTTGGTCGTTAAACATTCCCTCTCTCCTCTCCTCCTCTTTTCCCTCTCTCCCTCCACCTCCCTCTGCGGAAGTCAGGGATACGAGGACGAGCCGAGAGTCACGTGATGGTTTCCCCGACTGCTCGGGCTCTGAAAGCGATCGACAGCGAGATAATGAATGGCAAACTTTTCACACCGGCAGGGTTGTTTCCCTTTACCGCGAAACGTATCGGTACTCTATTGTTTGACCTGTCGTTTTTGCACAAATGTTCTTAGGGCCCCTTGAAAATGGGCTCACCGCCGCCCCGCTGTATTTCCCACCTCCGGCGCCTCTCTCTCCCTCTCCCTCTTGCACCACTAGCAGCAGAGGGAAGCAGTATTATTCTTCTCTGGAATGTCGCATCAGGCTAAATTTAGAGCCTTAGTTTCCGTTCTTCTCCTTGTCCTACCCTCGCTCTCCTCCTTTTCTCCCTCCTTACCGATGAGACTAAAATAGTTGGCGTCGGGCCTTCACTCACCTGGGAGTGACGGCTCTAAAGTACTCCCGTCACTCTCCACCCCTTTCCTGCCCGGCCCAAACTGGGCTTTGAAACGGACATTT